GAAGGCAGTCGCTTAACCAACTGAGCCACCCAGGCGCCCTCTCCTTTATTCTTAACACTGTTTTTTCCTCCTATTTTTGTAACCATAAAACCATTTTTCCTACTGACTGTATACACTTAATTGATATTTATTCATTCATTTCCTTGAAAAAAAAATACTGCCTTTTTCATTACAGACACTCTCTTGGGTGCTGGAGATATGACAGCAAACAAGACAGGAAAGATTTTGCCATCTTGGAAACAGAACAGGATGAATAAATGAATCAAGACACTTAATATAATTATATTTATACACATTAAAATTTGACACTCAGATGTAATGATTGTCAATTTCCATTGTTAAGCTAGGGAAAATGGAGAATATATGTTTACACTTTCTGAATTATAAATTTTATCCATTATTGCTAAATCAAATAATTATGTCTTTCTTGATTGGTTTACATCTAAATTTTACACAATGTGAACATAACTTAGGTTTCCTCTCTTTCTTCTTGGCCCTAAATACTTGTATTCATTGCCTGCTAATACATTCTCTACAGGATCAACTGAAATAAGAAAGGAAAACTCAATTCAGTCAGTTTTGCTATATAATATTTATATATTTGCATAAAATCTTGAAGGCCATTGAGTTTATCCACTATAGCCAGAAATATTAGGGCAGTCCTTTTATTAAAAAAAATTGACATGAAAAAAGCAGCAGAAAGGACAAATATTCTATGGTCCCACTTATGCAAAGTACTCTAGGTACCTGCATAGAGACAGAAGGTAGAATAGAGGTTACTATGGACTGGAGGAGGAAGAATGGGGAGTTATTGTGTAATGAGTATGCAGTTCTGTTAAGTAGGATGAAAAAGTTTTGAAGATGGGTGGTGGAAATGATTGTACAACATTGTGAAGGTACTTAATGCCACTGAATTGTACATTGAAAACTGGTTAAATGCTAAACTTTATCATTTATATATTTTATCACAGTAACAGGGAAAAAAAAAGAAAATCTTGACTAGAACAAAATTTTGATGCACACACTCAAGAAAAGTTTTGGAGGCCAAACTAATAGATGAAAATAAAAGCTTAGAATTATCTATAGATTTAAATTATATATATTTTCTATCACTTCCACAGTTGGTTATTATTATTTTCCCCTAAATATAATATTTTATATAAAACAATTTGAACTATATATCAAATATATTAACATCAAAGTTATGCCATATGTTGTTTGATGCCAAAAAAATTCTATGAAACACCTATGAACCATTTAACTACTTACTTGCAACCAGTGGTTCCTCTTCTGATGGTTTAAAGTAAAAAGAAACTTTTTCCAAATCAAATAGTGCAACGAGGGTATCTTCTAGCATGGCTTGTTCATCTGTCTAAAAGGAAAGGAAACAATACATGATATGATAGAATTGTATAGGATAGACTATAACATAACATCACATCGCCAGACCTTAAGCAGCTTTACTTGTGTTTTATTTACATGCAAACCAAATTACCAACCCTTATCTAAGAATTTACTGCCTAAAATGAAATTAACAAATCCCTCAAAGTTACAAGTCTCTTTTATAGTTTTAGATTTTTCTTTTTCTAGATTATCTAAATGGTTCTACACAACTTTTCAGTCTATTTTGTAGCTAGATTCAAACCATATTGATTTTTTTAAATTTTATTATGTTATGTTAATCACCATACATTACATCATTACTTTTTGATGTAGTGTTCCATGATTCACTGTTTGCGTATAACACCCAGTGCTCCATGCAATAAGTGC